TGAAGAACCAGGGAAATAAGTTGCTTAATGAAGTCAGCCTGTTTAAACAATTCTTTAGAAGCTCAAACAGAAACAGCCCGGGACGGGAAAATGAGGCAGCAAAGCCAGCAGCTCATGGGAGTTCAGGGGCTAAACTAAGGCTCTGTCAGAGCCAGCTTTGGGCTTAAGAAAGGAATGTTGTTTTGTTCAAGCCATTTCAGAACTCACGGTAAGCATCTCTAGCCTGCATGTCAAACATTTCCTTCGGTCCCTACGGTAGGCTGAAGGCCAAACAAAACAAAAAAAACCAAACCCGTTGCCGTCAAGTTGATTCCGACTCATGGCGACCTTATAGAACGAAGTAGAACTTCCCCATAAGGTTTCCAAGCAGCAGCTGGTGGATTCCAACTGCCGACCTTCTGGTTAGCAGCCGTAGCTCTCAACCACTACATCACCAGGCCTCCAGGAGGCTGAATAATGGCCCCCAAATATACGCAGGTCCTAATTTCCAGAACCTGTGAAGATTTCCTTATATGGCAAAAGAGACTTTGCAGGTGTGGTTACATTAAGTATTTTGAAATGACAGGATTGTCCTGGATTATCTATCTGGGTGGGCCCTAAATGCTATCACTAGAGTCCTTGGCAGAGGGAGATTGGACTTAGAACAGAAGAAGGTGATGTCACCACAGAGGCACAGACTGATGAGGTCACAAGCTGAGGAAATCAGCAGCCATTAGAAGCCAGAAGAGGCAAAGGGGGATCCTCCTCTAGGGCTTCTGGAGGGAGCACGGCCCTGCCGAGACCTGACTTTCAGACTTCTGGTCTCCAGAACTGTAAGAGAATAAATCTGGGTTGTTTTAAGCCTCTAAGTTTGTGGTAATTTGTTTCAGCAGCTATAGGAAACTAATACAGTCCCTCATTCTGTTTCCAACCTTCTAGTAATTAAAAGAAACTCAAGTAAGATTAACTCTGACATAAAGGAATAGCTGTTACTTCTACGAGTTAGGGGTGATGAAGTACTTACGCGGCAGAAGTCTCTTTCCAAGAAAAAAAAAAAAAAGAATTATACATAAGTAAAAATATCCATTATAACAAATTAGAGTTAAAAACCTCACAGCAATATGAAGAAAATAAAAATCCATCTTAATCTCATCACCCAGGAATAACCAAACACTTAATATTTTGGTGTATAAATTATGACCTTGAGTGTTTCTTTTAAAGCCGTGATGTGTGGAACTGTCGAGGAAAACCTGTCAAATGATTAAAACCAATGGTCTTGCCGTTCTGGAGACACAAGCAGTGACCGTCAGCTCTTTGTCACAGCAACAACCAGCAAAATGAACTTGACTCTAATGAGAGGAAAAGCAAGAAGCATGGGACTCCTCTAGCCTCTTCTTCCATGGGTCTTTACACATAATTTCTAACACAAAGGGTATCAAGAGTCAGCCACCTCTATCAAGACTCCCACAAGTCAAATGCCCTCCCTTAGACCATGGGGTGACTAAGGCAGAAAGAGAACGAGGGACATCTGGCTCTCAATGACCTCTACTCTCCCAGACTGGAGAGGCAGTTAGATAACAAAATACACCAGGCATCCCAGGTGCTCGAATATATACTGAATTTCAGTGTGTATTGTGACTTGGTTCCTCTCTTTCCTTCGTACCCACAGCCAATCCATCAGCAAGTACAGTTGGCTTCACCTTCAGCATGCAGTGAACCCCTCCCCCCGTCCATGGTTTCGATTTCCAAGGTTTCAGTTACCCGTGGTCAACCACGGTCCGAAAATGTCCAGCTCCGTCATTCACATAACTTTTATTACAGTATATTGTTATAATTGTCTATTTTATTATTAGTTGTTGTTAATCTCTCATTAGAAATTAAATTTTATCATGGGCATGTATATGTAGGACAAAACATAGTATATATAGGGTGTGGTACTATCCGAGGCTTCAGGCATCCACAGGGGGTCTTAGAACATATACCCCACAGATAAGGGGGAGGAGTTACTGTATTCCAAAATGGGGTCCCTTCTGCCACCCTCCAGCACCAACAGCCTGGTCTGAGACACCGTCATCCCACCTGGATTCCTGCAGGAGCCTCCTCACAGGTCTCCCGTTTGCGCCCTTGCGCCTCCCAAGCCTAGCTCAACATGACAGCTAGACAGAAACTTTCTTTCCTTTTTTTTAAACAACACAGATTTATTACTTTGCAGTTTTGGACGTCAGAAGTCAAAAATGGGTCAACAGGGTTGGTTCCTTGCGGAGTCTAGGGGAGAATCTGCTTCCTTGCCTGTTCCCGCTTCTAGGGGCCGCCGGCGTTTACATTCCTCGGCTTGTGGTCCTTCCTCCATCTTTTAACCAGCAGCATAGCATCTTCTTTTAGGCAGGAACTTTTAAAGCTAAGTCAGGTCATGCATTCCCCTGTTCAAAACCTGCAGGTGCTCATTCCCCACAGAGTAAAAATGGAAATCCTCACAATGGCCTCCAAGTTCCACCCAGGGCATGGCTGATGGCCCTGACATAACCTTGACCACCTCTCCGCCTGCTCACCCTGCTCCAGCCACACTGGCCTCCAGGCTCCTCCTCTTACATGCCAGACATTCTCCTGCCTCAGGGCCTTTGTACTGGCTGGCTGTTCACGCATTTAACCAAATGAAACCCGTTGCTGTCCAGTCAATCCCGACTCATAGTGACCCTACAGGACACAGTAGAACTGCCCCCATAGGGTTTCCAAGGCTGTAATCTTTATGGAAGCAGATTGCCATATCTTTCTAGTGGGTTCACAGGGACAGACACCCAATAAGCAAGGTATGCGGGGGTTTAATTATGCTTACTACTAATGTAATGGAGCCCTGGTGGCACAGTGGTTAAGGGCTGGGCTGCTAATCAAAATGTGGGCAGTTCAAATCCACCAGCTGCTCCTTGGAAACCCTATGAGGCAGTTCTGTTCTGTCTTACAGGGTCGCTATGAGTCAGAATCAACTCAAAGGCAACAGGTTTGGTTTTTTTAAACGAATCTGTAGTGCACAATTTTACCCATTTCATCCATGTGAAAACACAGTTTAGCCCATGTGTACCTTGCTTACTATAAGCTGGTACAGTACTGTTCCTTCTGGTTAATCAGCCCCTGGGTTCGAACCACTAGCCTTCCGGTTAGCAGTTGAGTGCTTAACCACTGTACCAACAGGGCTCCCTGGAGCACTCAGTAGGCCCCAGATATCTGCATGGCTGCCTCAAATGCAGAGATGTCTTAATAAGACCCACCCTGACCGCCCGGTTTAAAATGGCAACTCCTCCCCCTAACACGTCCCCACCTCCTCTACCGTGTTAAATTGTCTTCTCTTTTACAGCACTATTAGCGCTCCACGAGGAATAAACTCTGTTTGGCCCTGGCCTTGGCTTCCACAGTACTGCAGCCAGACAATGAAGCAACATCTATAAGAGCTTGGAAAAGAAAAATGTTGTAACCTTAGAAAGCGTTGCCCAGCCAAGCTGTTGCTCCTGCAGGGAGTAACAGATCGACATTACAAACTCCGCAAGGATTCAGAAAATATATCACACGAGGATGCTTCCTGAGGAAGACTGTGACTCAACCCCAAGTTCTAGCAACAAAAGATGGACCAGGATATTTAAGAGCTCAAGAGCAAGGAAGCGGCGGCTGGAAAGGCAGGTAGGAGAATCATTGATGCTAATAACAGCTACCGATTTCCAAATGCTCACGTGACCCAAGCACTTAGCATCTCATGTAATTCTCAAAATAAGTCATTTTATTTGTTTCTCAAAATAAAAAGCATGATCCCCATATCGGTGGCGTATCGAGGGTATTGCACGGCTCTGGGCATACAGCGCCACGGAGCAGTTTCTAACCTCCTTCCTCAAGCAGGGTAATGTGTTAATTAAAAGATTAACGAGCTTGACTTGTATTTTTGAACCTGACATTATGGTAGAGTTATCTGAAAGAGGGGCGTGAGATGTTTGGATAGGGGCACCATTTTCCGTAGATACACCACTGGCCATACCAGGTTAATAGAAACTACACAGCGGCACCGCGCGACCATGGCAGGTGGAATATCTACCATAACTGCTGTACCCTAATTACACCTCTGTGTGAGAAAACCAAGGTTCTGAAAGCTTGAGTAACTTGTCCAAGATAAACCAGTTAGTAAATAGTAGAGCTGAGATTCCAAAATACATCCCATAGTGGTGATGGCCACAGAACATGGTCAGTGTAATTAATATCACCGAACTGCACGCTTAGAAACGGTTAAAATGGTAAATTTTGTTATATATTTATTCTATCACATAACAAACAAAATTTTATATACACACATAATATATCTATATATAAATATAAATAAAAAATATATTTATCTTTCCCAAGGAGTTCCTCACATTGCCTCAATTTTTTGTAATATTTTTATTCTTCTTTATGCTTATCTGTGCTTTCTAGTTACTCTAAAGAAAATATGTTATTTTTGAAATAAAACACTGATAAAAGTTCTTTTTTTCCAATTAAAATAAATTCTCAGACACAAAACAAATCACCCTAAAGTGCTAAAAAGGAAAGGATTGTTAAGGCCACATCAAAAAGACACCTGCATAAAGGAAGCAGCTATGGCATATATCAGCATTAACATATACTGAATTCAGTATTTTAAGAAAGCGTTAAGCAGAGCCAGAGGCACTCTGTATTTATAAAAGGCACACTGCGTGGCAAATATGCAACAGTTATGAATTAATGCTCCAAACAACTCAGTATCAAATACGCAAAGGCAATAACTGATAGAAATAGGAGAAGAAATTGTTTAAAGTAACTGGAATTGGAAGTGTTAACATATAGGGATCAATCTAGAACAAGCAACCCTAAACATAAGGTCCAGAAAGAGTTGTACTCCCCTCAAACCCCAAAAAGAAAAGGCCTGAATTACAATTGCCCACGCCCCTTTTCCTGCCAGACCACAGAGCTAAAGACGTGATTTTACCTTCAGGCAGGTGGCTGCAGTGCTGGGGGCAAGACCTCACCTGGAACATTGTGGATGGTGATGGCCAGGATGAGCAGAGCGATCCTTCTCCAGCTGCCGCCTTCAGGCTGCACGGGGTTCCCTCGGGAAGGCACGGGGGGAACAGGGTCCCCTGGGAGGCCGGTCACCCTCCTCCTCTGATACGCCTCGCCATTCTCACTCTTGTCTGCAAAGAGAGATGGGAAAGGGAGCACTTTGACAATGAGCAGGCTGATGCCATGGACAAGCAGCAGCAGGGGGAAGCTTTCAAGACTGGGAAATGTTCTACTTCCAAACTTCCTGTAGACCACATATTCTTTCGTCTGTCCATTCATTCATTCGTTCATTCATTCATGCAGCAACCATTCATCAAATAGAACTCAGTGTCCAACGTACAGGGTAAAAAGAGATGAAAATTTGGTGTCTTAGCAATGCCCATTTACAACAAGCAATACTGAGTGGTGATAAGGAGCAAAGATGCTGGAATCTGGCTGCCTGGTTCAGTTCCTGACTCAGCCGTTTATCAGCCATGTGGTGCTTAACTAAAAAGCCGGAAGGTGAGCCCCTAGGTTGGAAGGCACGAAAGATACACAGTGGCCGCAACAATGAACTCGAGCATATCAACCACCGTGAAGGTGATGCAGGACTGGGCAATGTTTCGTTCTGTTGTACATGGGATCGCCAGGAGTTGAAGCTGACTCAACAGCAACTGAGAACAACAACAAAAACAGCACTACAGACGTTAGTAAACTCTCTGTCTTAGTTCCCTGATTCATAAAAATGGAGTATTAGTACCTGCGTAACAGAAGATGTGTAAAGGGTTTAGAACAGTGCCCGGAACATACTAAACACCACAGGTATTGGTTGCTGTTATTACTTTTCCTTTCTCCCACAGTCCTATAAAACCAACATAATATATGAACAACCCTGTTTTCCTGGTCACACTGAATCATGCAGAACCAATTCAGACACCAGGCTCAGTCATACAGATTCTCTCCCCAGGGATGGGGGACTGGAACATGGAAGGACTCGGTCACTCAGGTGTGGCTTGTGGGTCTGGAAGACCATGTAGTTTAAGGGCAGCCATGATGTACCACGTGAGAATGGAACGAGGCAAGCAGCTTGGCAGACAGACAGAATGAGCAGATGGACATAGACAAGTACAGATGGGAAACCATGCAGCCAGAGACAGCAGACAGCCTCGGTGCCATAGGACTTTCTGACACCTCCTGGGCCAACCACAGTGGCTGCCCCCGGGTTTCACAAGCTAGCCCTGTTTTTAAAAATTCTCTTTCTGGTTTATATTTAAGGAGTGTTGTTTCTTGTGGAAGGAGGCCTGGTGGTGCAGTGGTTAAGCGCTTGGCTGCTAACCAAAAGGTCAGTGGTTAGAACACACCAGCCACTCCGTGAGAGAAAGACGTGGCAGTCTGCTTCTGTAAAGATTATAGCCTTGGAAACCCTATGAGGCAGTTCTGCTCTGTCCTGTAGGGTAGCCATGAGTCAGAATCGACTGGATACAATGGGTTTCTTATGGCCAGATTGTTCTAAGGCCCATGGCCCCTCAGGCTATTTGCTCGCTCTTAAGGAGGCAAAACGCCTAGATCTGAAACACAGGCAAGCAAGAGTGAGGTGGAGCCTCCAGACTGTGGGTGGAGTTGGGGGACAGGCTTCCTGGAGGAGAGGGTCTTGAGCAGGTCTGAAACACGTGATTGTACAAATAGAAAGAAGGGTCTCCCTATCATGCGTGACCACCAGAACCTGGAAAGCATCACTCAGATATCACAGATGGGTCACCAGAACTTGGCTTTGTAATCTCCACTGTAAGTAGAGCAACTACACATCCCAGCTTTGGTCTGCTGTCCGAGAGGAATTGTGGGCTTCTGTAAAGATTACAGCCCAGAAAACCCTATGGGGCTCAGTTCTACTCTGTAGTTGGAATTGACTCCAAGGCAACGGGTTTGGTTTTTGTTTTTGGTTTTTCATGTTCAAAAGTGTCCCGGCTGGGATGATAAATTAGGTGGCCCCCTTGGCTGTGGGAAACCTCACTACCTCACTAAAACTTACAGCCATCTACCTGAAGGGTAAGAAGATATTTCTACTTCCCTACTCCATGGACAAAATGTCCACAAGTCAAAAACTCTCATCTCTAAGCGGAAAGTTGCAGAAACATTTTCCCAAAGCCAAATGAAGAAACAAGAGGCAATTTTAGGGATTCCTGAGTCCCTGGGTGGTGCACGCGGTTCACATGCTTGGCTGCTAACAGAAAGGTTGGAGGTTCAAGTCCACTCAGAGGCACTTCAGAAGAAAGGCCTGGCAATCTGCTTCTGAGAAATCAGCCATCGAAAACGCTGTGGAGCACGGTACCCTTCTGACGCACACGGGGTTTCCTTGAGTCAGAGTCGACACAATAGCACTGGTTTTCTTTTTACTTCCCTGGCCAGGCACTTTTGGTTCAGCCTCCCTTTAGTCATTGTTGTAAAACAAGACAACGGCAGTGTGTATTACCCGCCTGGGTGCTCCACTTAAAGACCGTTTTCTCACTCTTAAAAACTTGATGGGATCTTTGACTCCCTTTTCAGATGTACCCACCTTAGTGGAATATTGTATTATATTTCAAAACCACTTCTTTTGAAAATCATTTTTTATTTGTTTACACAAGTCAAGAACGCTCAGCTTTAAGGGTGATACACCGTCAAAGGTCAGGTGGACTCACTCCTCCCCAAGTCCCAGCAGGTTCTCTTACCAACGGCTGAATGTCGGTTCCGTTAGGAAGAAGTGGCCTTTGACTCATTCTCCACAATGTCAGCATTCCAGCCCTCTGAGGGGCAGTAGCCACGACTCACTAAACTTACCCCGGGAAAATGCAACTGTCCCAACTGGACAGCAACTCCTCCCAGACACAATATTCACATGAGACGAAGCTAAGCTGTTACTGTGTGTCTCCACCCCGTGTGTGTATGTGTGTGTGCATGTGAGTATATGTATGCATGTATGTGTGTGTGCATGTGAGTGTATGTATGTATGTGTGTGCGTGTATGTATGCATGCATGTGTGTGCATGTGAGTGTATGTATGCATGCATGTGTGTGTGCATGTGAGTGTATGTATGCATGTGTGTGTGCATGTGAGTGTATGTATGCATGTATGTGTGTGCATGTGAGTGTATTATGCATGTATGCATGTGCATGTGAGTGTATGTATGCATGTGTGTGCGTGTGTGTATGCATTTATGTGTGTGCATGTGAGTGTATGCATGCATGTGTGTGCGCATGTGAGTGTATGCAAGCATGTATGTGAGTGTATGCACGCATGTGAGTGTATGTATTCATGTGTGTGTGCATGTGAGTGTATGTGTGTGACATGTGAGTATGCATGTATATGTGTGCATGTGAGTGTATGTATGCATGTGTGTGCATGTGAGTATATGCAAACATGTATGCGTGTGTGAGTGTATGTATGTATGTGCATGTGAGTGTATGTATGTGTGTGTGAGTATGTGTGCATGCATGTGTGTGCACATGTGAGTGTATGTATGCATGCATGTGTGTGTCCATGTGAGCATATGCACGCATGTATGTGTGCAAGTGAGTGTATGTATGCATTGGCATGTGAGTGTGTGTACATGCAAGTGTATGTGTGTACATGTGAGTGTATGCATGTATGTGTGTGTGCATGTGACTATGTACACATGTATTGTGTGCATGTGAGTGTATGTATGCATGTGTGTGTACATGTAAGTGTAGGCATGCATGTATGTGTGTGCATGCGTGTATGTATGCATGTGAGTGTATGTATGTGTGTGCATGTGTGTGCATGCATGTGTGTGCGTGTGAGTGTATGTATGCATGTATGTGTGTGCATGTGCGTGTATGTATGCATGTGTGTGTTCGTGTGAGTGTATGTATGCATGTATGTGTGTGTTCGTGTGAGTGTATGTATGAATGTATGTGTGTGTTCACGTGAGTGTATGTATGTGCATGTGTGTGGTCACACAACGGCCACCCGGTACCGTCTTGCATGCTTCAGATATGAGGCAGCCTTCATGTATGTGTGCCCATGTGTGTGTTTCTGTACACACATGGGGGGTGTTTATGTACATCTTAAATTGACAATATCTGGTCAACTCAGGCTGTAGAGGCTGGTCCAGAAATTGAAGCTAGTGAGCATCTGGCATTTCAAGCACATAAATCTGGCCACATGGGCATGGCGGGCCCGGCTGCTGTCCAGGAGCTAAGCCTGATCATGGCAGAGGCGTGCAGCTTGGTCTTTCCTCGCCTGGATAAGTCAGCAAATGCTACTGATTCCTAGGCCCCTCTGAGTGCCCAGGCCTAACCCAATGCTGTCCAGTGGGACAGCCAAAGGGAAAAACGATCACCCTGCCCTTTGCTGTCACTGTTGGATGCCGTTGAGTCAGTTCTGACTCATAGTGACCCCATGTGATGGAATACAACTGCCTCACAGGGTTTCCTAGGCTGTAATCCTTATGGAAGCAGATTGCTAGGTCTTTATCCCTTGGAGCCACTGGGTAGGTTTGACCTGCCAACCTTTCGGTTAGCAGCTGAGTGTTTAACCATTGCGCTACCAGGGCTCCTTCCCAATGCCCATAAAAAAAACCAAAAACCAAACCCGTTGCCGCTGAGTCAATCCTGACTCATAGTGACCCTATAGGACAGAGTAGAACTGTCCCATAGGGTTTCCAAGGAGCGCCTGGTGGATTCGAACTGCGAACCTTTTGGTGAGCAGCCTGAGCTCTCTGCCCTTAGGGATTTATATTTTAAGAGGTCAAAAGGGGAGGACACGAATAAACTCCTTTGAATCTAAAAGGCAGAAACACACTAACAAGTGCTGAAGGTTATGCTCATTTTCCTCAATGTCAGAAAGGATCCGACTCTGAATCGACTATGGCAGACAGAAGGCAGACAGTAACAGGGTTGGGAGGCACCATTAGCAAGTTCCAGTGCCATGCTTGTGTTTAATGGGAACATCGTGGGCATAAAGAGTTATTAACTGAAGCAGAGCCGCACGCTCCTCTGGAGGCCTCAATGTGTGAAAACTGACGTAGGTGCCTTCCTGGTGGGACTGGGTAGACAAGAAAAGCTTGACACGTTTGTGAAAGTTAAAGAAGCCATCCTAATAGGTTTGCAACGAGGAAGATTAGCCCAAATAAGTCATTACGGAGCGCATGGAA